ATTTTCGTAGGGGTTAGCCCACATATTTCAAGATAAACAAGAAAATATGATATTTTTTTTATTGCATAGATGCATCATGAACTGACATAGTATGAATATTAAAGAGGTTTAAGACCTTAGATGTTTCCGTTTCTCTAAAAAATAGAGATTTTATAGGGGTTAGTACACTTACTAGGTGGTATAAGAAGTTTAAATAAATTACTTTTTGAAAAATTATAAATTATTCCCATCTACCATGAAAATAAGTTTACCACACATATATATAATTTTAGAGTGTGATTAGTTATTTTTAAATAACATTAAAGAGATTAAATATTATAGATAGCATTTAGCAGAAAATTCAAAATTTTCGTAAAGGTTAACCCACATATTTCAAGATAAATAAGAAAATATGCTATTTTTTTTATTACATAGATGCATCCTGCACTGACATAGTATGAATATTAAAGAGGTTTAAGACCTTAGATGTTTCTGTTTCTTTAAAAAAATAGAGATTTGATAGGGGTTAGTACACTGATTAGGTGGTATATGAAGTTTAAATAAATTACTTATTGAAAAATTATAAATGATGCCCATCTACCATGAAAATAAGTTTACCATACATATATCTAAATTCAAGTTATGATTAGTCTTTTTTAACTAACACTAAAGAGATTAAATATTATAGATATCATTTAGTAGAAAAATCAATATTTTCGTAGGTGTTAGCCCACATATTTCAAGATAAATAAGAAAATATGATATTTTTGTTTTATTGCATAGCTGCATCATGCACTGACATAGTATGAATATTAGATAGGTTTAGCACCTTAGATGTTTCCGTTTCTCTAAAAAAATAGAGGTTTTATAGGGGTTAATCAACTTATTAGGTGGTATATGAAGTTTAAATAAATTACTTATTAAAAAATTAGAAATGATGCCCATCTACCATGAAAATAAGCTTACCACACATATATATAAATTTAGTTTGTGGTTAGTTATTTTTAAATAACACTAAAGAGATTATTTATTATAAATAGCATTTACCAGAAAATTCAATATTTTCGTTGGGGGTTTAGCCCTCATATTTCAAGATAAATAAGAAAATATGATATTTTGTTTTTTTGCATAGATGCATCATGCACTGTAATAGTATGAATATTAAAGAGGTTGAAGACCTTAGTTGTTTCCGTTTCTCTAGAAAATAGAGATTTTATAAGGGTTAGTACACTTACTAGGTGGTATAAGAAGTTTAAATAAATTACTTATTGAAAAATAAGAAATAATGTCCATCTACCATGAAAATAAGTTTATCATACATATATATAAATTTAGGGTGTGATTAGTTATTTTTAAATAACACTAAAGAGATTGAGTATTATAGATAGCATTTATCAGAAAATTCAATAATTTCGTTGGGGTTAGCCCACATATATCAAGATAAATAAGAAAATAGGTTAGTCCATTTATTAGGTGGTATATAAAGTTCAAATAAATTACTTATAGAAAATTATAAATGATGCCCATCGACCAAGAAAATAAGTTTACCCTACATATATATTAATTTAGGGTGTGATTAGTTATTTTTAAATAACACTAAAGAGATTAAATATTATAGATAGCATTTATGAAGTCCACTTATTAGGTGGTATATGAAGTTTAAATAAATTACTTATTGAAAAATTAGAAATAATGCCCATCTACCATGAAAATAAGTTTATCATACATATATATAAATTTAAAGTGTGATTAGTTATTTTTAAATAACACTAAAGAGTTTAAATATTATAGATATCATTTATAGGAAAACTTGATCTCTTTATAAAGGTCAATCCAAAGATATCAAAATAAAGTAGAAAATATGGTACTTTTCTTTTAATGCATAGATGCATCGAGCACATATATATGATGAAGATTAAAGATGTCTGATACTTTTGTTGTCCTAATTTTCTCTAAAATATAGAGATTTCAAAAGTTTTAGTTCTTTGATTTATGTGGTATATGAAGTTTTATTAAATTACTCGTTGGAAACTTATAACTGATGCCGATGTACCATGAAAATAAATTTAGGATACATTAGTATAAATTTTAATGTGGTTAGATATTTAATACACTAAAAAGAATAAACTTAAGTACAAATAACAATTATCGAAAAAATTCGATCTTTTGTGGGGGTTAACCCACAAATTTCAAGATAATTAGAAAAATATAAAATTTTTGTATTTATGCATAGTTGCATCTGCACTGATATATAATGAATATCAAAGAGTATTGATCTCTGAGTTATCCAAATTTCTTTAGAAGATAGAGATTTCATAGCTATATAAATGCATCCAGCACTGATATTGAAAAAAAAAATTTATAAAAGATACAAATAATGAAAAAAAAAAAGAATGCATGTGTAATTTGCAAAAAAAAAAACATATTAGTTGAGAAGATCTATTAACTTTGCCATTTAATGTCGTACTCATCTTTATAGTTTACCTTATTAGTTTAGTAAATGATTAGGTTTATTATAATCTAAAATTTTAAAACCAATATAAAATTTTAATAGCATCTAATTAATATAGACACATGTAATATAAATTGTACATATGTTTCAAAGATTTTGTTGAAAAAATAATAAACATCATTTTTATGAAATATAAGTTATATATTATAATATATTTATTTTTATAAAATGAGTCTTCGTACAACATGACACATATTCCTTACACGATTATCAATAAAGTAAATATATATCCTAATATCCTTTAATCTGCACCGAATTAAAAAAGTGAAAACGCAGAAAAGATTAGAATAAACATGAGAATGTGAGTATCAAACATAAAAAAACCAAGGAAAGTTTAGAGAATGTGAGGAAATAACAAAAGAGATTGTTTGTGTGTGTCATATCAAAACTTCAACGTAACTCATTAACAGACAATGATCCTGGTGCTGCCAGTGACATGGTATTAATCTGGTCCTCTTCGTTCTCTTCTAAAGATCTCCCCATAGTTTCACGCGTGAAGAAATACGTCACCAACACTCCAGCGATACAAACGCCGCCAAGTATCAAAAACACGATCCTCACACGTTTCATGTCTCGGAAAACGTCCTCTTCATCGTGTTTGTGTTTCGTGGCCCACAAGAAACCAACAGTTCCAACAATCGCTCCAAGCTTCCCAGCAGCTCCTGAAATCCCATGGCACGTTGACCTAAACCTAGTCGGAAAAAGCTCAGCTGGGATAATAAACGTCGTTGTGTTGGGACCAAAGTTGCTAAAGAAGAAGATCAAACCGTAGAGAGCCATAAAGCCTATATCATTACTCTTCTCATGCTTAGACCGGTACCAAGTATATGGTATCCCAGCGACTAAGTAAACAAGGGCCATAATAAAAAAGCCCATTATCTGAATCTTGACTCGGCCTACTCTATCGATGAAATAAACTGTGAACCAGTAGCCTGGGATGGTGGAGCAGGCGGCTACGATGGCTGCTACCTTAGCCACTTCGAAGGCAGAGTCGTAGACGTTTGTGGAGTTGGGAGGGTGTTTGGAGAAGATTTGAGCGAGGAGGAGGTTGCTTGTGTAGAAGACTACGTCCACTAGGAACCAATTGGCTGAGGCTGCGAAGAGGTCACGGCCGTGGAGGCTGAAGAAGCGGCGAGAGAAGAGTTTGTAGGAGGAGGAAGACGGTGGCTGTTGTTGTGTCGGAGATGATGCATCTTCGGGTAGTGGAGGCATCATGGTTACGGACATGACTCTTTGCATGTCTTTTGTTGCTTGAGTTGCATTGTTCTCAACTAGTGCTGTGTATCTGCATGCATTTTTAAATTCCAGTAGTTGAACTATTGATTTTATTATTTAGTAAGTATATACTGAAAATTAAAAAAAAATAAAGATTTTACTTGTATAATCATCTAAAACTGGCCAGTTTCAGAATATTCAAAAATTTGTAAAAGCTAGCAAAATATAGCATTTTGTGGCATAAGCATATAAATGAATTAGTATATTTTTATCATTCAAATAAATTTACAATACGAAGAGAAAGATAATATTATCAACGCTCATTAAAATGGAACTAATTAAAACCAATATTGGCGATGTATAAGTATATTGAATTGGATTTTATTAGTTGGGGAGATAATTCTAGCTTTTTTTTTTTGAGAAAAGACATAAATAAACATAAACTATATTTCATCCGTTTCAGTTTATTTGTCATTCTAGGTTTTTGCACACAAATTAAGAAAACATTTAGTTTTATATATTTTCAATATAAAAACACAATTACCAATACACCTAACCACTTTTTAACCAATAGAATAATAGAATATCATATAAACCTAATAAATTTTGTCTCGAAACTCTAAAATGACACTTATTTTGAAACGAAATTTTTTCTCTAGAATGACATCTAATTCGAAACGGATGGAGTATTTCTTAGCTGGAGACTATACCTGAGAAGTATAATTTATACATAGCATACTAAAACAATATACTATACATGTTAAAATGCGAATACGTACTATATGTAAAGATGTGATCATGAGAGGTCGTTTATAAGATGTGTTCCGTATATAATTCTCCCTCACAACTCAACTAACTTCCTAGAAACAAATCAGATTGAACTTAGGTTAAATTATATGAATTCTTCTCTCACACAACACAAGTTTCAGTTCCTCTAATTAACATTAGCTCGTACGAAAACATGGGTAGAACTTTTGTTTAAGACACAACCAAACCAACGTTTTTTAATGACAGAAATAGTATATAGATGTCAATAATTGAAGAAAGAAAAAGACAAGAACCTGGCGGTTTCAGGCATAAGCATTCGCCAGTAGAACGTTAAAGCGGCAGGAATAGCACCGATCATCAGAATCAACCTCCAAGCAATATCCGATTCCGCCGGAGCCAAAGTCTCCATCCCCGCCGCTCTTGTTTTCTCCAAGCTCCCTCCTCCGGCGTTCTTGAACGCTTCACACACAACCATCGTGACAGCTGAGCTCATCAAGATCCCTAACCCCTGCATGGAGAACACAGCCGCTATAAAAGCGCCACGCGTCCTTTTATTAGCGAACTCCGACATGATGGTTGCGGAGAGAGGGTAATCTCCACCGATACCTAGTCCAAGAACGAATCTAAAGAAGCCAAGACTCGCTATAACGCAAGACCTACGAGTGGTGCATACGGAGAATCCGCATCCAAAGGAGCTTAAGACCATAAGCAAGAGACAAAGACCGTAGACTCGAGTGCGTCCTACACGGTCTCCTAAGTAACCGAATATGAGCTGACCTAAGGCGGTTCCTAAGAGAGCGATGGCGTAAGAAGTGGACAGAACAGCGGTTCCGACAGGGTGATTGTCGTAATAGATTTTTCTGATCATTTTCAAGACCGGAGCTATACAGAAAAGATCGTAAGCGTCGGTGAAAAGACCCATTCCAGCGACTATTATCGCCTTGAAATGGTACCACTGTATCCTCGCCGCATCTAACGCTGATAACAGTCTCAGCCTCGGCATCGTGGTTTTTTTTTTTACTTTTGAGGAGTTCGTGGAGACACAAAGTGAGTTATATAATGTTTGAATAGTTTTGCTTCTTCGAGAGAGCATTATGGAATATGCTTTTGTGTTGACTGCGAGGAAGTCAACACCGTCATGGATCGAGTCCACTTCCTGTAGTTGACTTGCATAACGTTTTTTATATATAGAATCTGATTATAAAGTCTTTATTTGTGTTCTCACGATGGGCACAACACTTAAAAAGGTTTTTCTTTGAAGATGTTTTTATAACTTTAATTATGAATCTCTTTATGTTTTTTTCACTTTTTTTTGTTAGACCTATCCTATTTTGTACTTTTGAATAAGGATATAATTTGAGTAACTATTCTAAGATAACTTAAGATTCGAACCCAAAAAAAAAAGATGACTTAATAAGATAAAATTTAGCAACACTATTTTTTCATATTTCTAATTGTTCAATTATAATTATTTAATATATAAAATTAACTCGTTGGCAGAGCGTTGCACTTGCATTCGGTATATGCTTTCTCTCCTCCCTCTGGCTCTCACGTTTGATCTTATCTGTTCATAAACCACAAGAAGATAGCAGCATTTAGGGTCTCAGTTCTTTCAGACGCAGATGGGCGAAAAGAATTGTTCTCTTTCATATCATTGGTTACTATGAAACCCAAAGCATGGTCCAGCCTCTAGTTTTAACATGTGGCATAAGTAGAAGGGAGTTTTCTGTTGAGACGGCTCTTTTGACTATCCAAAAATGATGAAAAGGACACGTTACGAATAAGAAATGTGAAAGCTTACTTTGATTTTTCTGTACGTAGGCAATTTCGCTCACAGCAATATTGACAAGACTGATGGATGGCCCAGCACAGACTTGCTTGGCAGTATTAGTGAAAAAGATATGTGAGATGACTTTGGAGTGAGTAGTTTTATGATTCTCATCGTTCATGGAGTTGATTTGTGCATTTGTTTTTTGACACAAGGGATATAATCCAAAACCAACCTATTATATATGGCAGAGAGACCCAAGAAGACTTTTCTATACAAGCAAGCGGGTGGTAAGGTTAAGACTTGAAAGAGTAGGAAGGTATTCATCCTAACCGACAAGATGGATGCGCAAGCAGTGGTAAAGGTTCAATCAGTCGAATTCCTTAACAATCTAAACCTCAATCATACGCATTAAACCGCTGACCAAGCAACCCTCAGATTAACTTCCACATTTTATTTACATGTCTATAGTCACACATGTCATGAATTTAGTAGTATCTCCAGCTCCATAAATTTAGTTTTAAAAGTTCGATTGATTTTAGTAGGAGTTAATCATAAAACAAATTTCAAATGATGTTAACTTCTTTTTTTCAAGTATGACATTCTAGAAACTGACTGGACAAATCTTGTTGAAAATACTCAGCTTTCACTTCTATTTTATATATAAAGTTGATGACAAAAAAAATATGTATAAAGTTATATATAAGTCATAAGTGGTCTAACATTGTTCATTAAACCTTGTTATATACTTCTATTAAATTTAATGGTGTTACACAACGAAACAACTGTCTGTAAGTTAACTGGTTACAAAGGGAAATCCTAATCAACATGAGACGAAGCAACTATGAAATAAAAAAAAGGATATTAATCTCAACTTAAGTGAAAATCTCTTATGTATCTGCTTTGTTGTTGACACATTGGATCTATGATCAGGAATCTTTTACATCGAGTACACCTTACAAAACCCTGGAGAAGCTTATAAGCATTTTTATTCTGCAATTGGGGTGGCAACAAACGGTTGGTACACCCGTTTATTCAATGTCACAGGACAAGTAAGCATGGGACAAGTAAGTCTGGTCATATACTCATATTCCCACAAGAACCTATCTGGTATTTCTTATGTCTAATACAATGACACTTTATGGTTATTACAGTTTACAATTACAGATAAACAACCTACTGGTCAAAGCTCCAAGATAGAGAAAGTAAGAATGAAGAGGCAACAACAACGAAGGATCCAAAACCTGATGCTCATGACTTTTTTCTGTTTTTGCAGGCAGTTTTCAAATTCATATGAGAATGCCATTTATATCTGTCACCGGAACAAATATTGATGTTTTAACTCCTCACATTGAACAAATATTTTGTTTACTGAACAATCACAATTTTCAAGAAATTCTAAGATAAAAACTGTCTTCATACTTTGAAGTAAGCTTCGGATAACAGTTGTGTTCAGCCATGAAAGAAGAGGCAAACCTTACACCACTAATGGATATATATATATATATATATATATATATATATATATATGCAGTAACAGAAAATTACATGGACATATTTTACTTACAATCCAAGATTTGAGGACAAAGGCTATGTACGCCCATGAATGTTACACACTACACCTCTTTTCCTCAGTCTATTAACTTGTAAATGTGAGAACCGGATAGCAATGACTCTCTCCGCAATTCCTTCCCAGTATATAAAGGTTTCACATCAAACATTATAAAAAATAATCAAGTAGAGCATTTTAGATTAATAACTTAAGAGTTTTGAGAAGCTGTTTCAAGAACAGTAAATTAAGGTTTATGGACTTCGCTGAAAACTAAAGTAATTTACCCCAAATTCTTTATACATTTTTTTTTTGGTTCAAAAATTCTTTACACATTATTCGTGTTTTTTCGAAACTTTCCATGTGACTCTTGTCCGCATCCAAGCGTATAATCAGAAACCCTGAGAGATAAATAGAGAGTCCGTAGCCATACGTTATCATACTTTAACAGGGATGGTACGTAGTGAAGAATAATGTGACTAAATGGCGGCGTTTTTAATAAACGTGAATTACCCTGTAGTTTGGTACGTAACTGTTCAAATAACACATGAACGTTACCGACATAAATCCATGGATTTGCACAAATTTCTCTTCTTAATTTCTAATTTTTCTACTCATTTGTTTTCTCCTCCTGATTAAGTGAACTAACACCTTTTGCGGATTTTTTTTGAAAAAAAAATGAAAGAAGATTTTGTACGTTTGTGCAAAGTAATCTAAAAATATAAAACCAGTAAAAATTGGAGCAAATCAAGGATTAGTAGTATTTAGTTTCTCATTACTAAACACAGGGGACGGTTGGTATGATTTGTCTGCTTACTTCGAGTAAGGTCTAGTCGAGCAGATTCAGAACGTGACAATGTGACTTCCACTGCCTCATCAGGACAAATCAATTATGTACCCACCTCACTTAACTAATCCTTAACTTTAGTATTCTAGTGTTATCTAATGTGTGTTGCTGTCATTTACATATATTAATATTTTATTTTGTTTATATCATATTTTGTATATTATTACGTTTCCTAAGAACAATTATCATATAATATTGTTACATTTATATTAACTTATAAAACTCCCAAAATCGAATAGTGTATATTAACATTGATTACTCTCTTTATACGTAAAAATGAATAATGCATATAAAACGATGATTTAAGATTTATTTAAAATTGATGCTTCCATATGAAGAGTTTCTTTCTGATAATTTTTTATATGAAAATGCCATATACAAAAGCAGAAATAGTTAGAACAGTTTTCTTAGAAAAAATCACCATACAATTAAGAAAGGGATTTACGAAATCCCAATAAAGACATAGATATATCATTTATACATAAAAATAAAATAACACTATTATCTATCAGTCTCACGTTTAATCTTAATATATACATGTTGATTTGATAACAATACAGTGAAAAATACGTTTATTCTGTACAATTAATTACAAAAGATTTATTTTAAGAAAAAGGGAAAATAGTATTTTGTAACACCCATACGTATAAACATAGACATTTTCTGAATAAAATTAGCTTTGATACAACATTTTCATTTATTTTTTTGAAAAAAAATTACACATTTTTAGTTTATAGATTTCTATTATATATGGGTTAAGTTTTTTAATTCGTGTCACGTAAACAAATCGTGAAAAAATTGTCTAAGAATAGACGATTAGAAAGTAAATTAAATTAAATTAAAAAAAAAGACCAGAAAAAGCGGGTTCGTGTCCTATAAAACATGCTCTTGTCTCTATCTCTATCTCTCTCTCTCTCCCTCCACACTTGTCACGCTGGATATTCCTCCCCCAATGGATATCCGACGGAGACCTCCCAAACCGTCCGTTAATCCCAACGATGACGATAAGATTGCTCCTCCCAAAGCCTCCGACGCGCTTCCCCTCCCTCTCTACCTAACCAACGCCTTCTTCTTCACCCTCTTCTTCTCCGTCGCCTACTACCTCCTCCTCCGCTGGCGCGACAAGATCCGTCACAACACCCCTCTCCACGTCATCACCGTCACCGAACTCTCCGCTCTCCTCGCCTTAATCGCATCCTTCATCTACCTCCTCGGCTTCTTCGGCATCGACTTCGTCCAATCATCACGCGCCGACTCCAACGACGCCGATACTAATAATAATAACGATTACGAAGACCACCGCCTCGTCACGTGCCCTCCTAGTGGCGGACGTAAGTTTGTAGTAACAGGTGCGCGGCACGTGACCTCTTTAAAATATTCATTTAAAAAATTTATGCATTAGATCCTATTCTTATGTATATATTACATCTTCTGCCCCATACTAAATTGCTGCACCTGACCTTAAAAATATCATTTTAGATCCTAATCTTATGTATATATTACATTTTGTGCCCCATACTAAATAAATTACTTCTAGATCCTCTTAAATACTCCATCCATTTTAAAGTAATGTATATTTAAGAATTTTCACATTTTTTAAGAAAACACATAAATTCTTGTAATAAATCTATTATTTTCTGTGTTTAGCTATTTTCTATGATTTTTCACTAATCAAAATTTAGTAATATAATTAATATCTTTGAAATTGACAATTTGCCATTATTATCTACTCCCTCCCTTCCTAAAAGATGTATATTATAGAAAAAAATATTGTTTCAGAAAAATGCATTTTTTACATTTTCAATGAATGATTTAATGAAAAATTATAAGTTTCAAAAAAAATTAATTGTGTTTATTGAGTTTCTATTGGTTAAAAGTTATGAAAAATTGTTATTCACAAAATACAATGCATTTACATTTAAAATTTACTGAGTTTTTTTAATATTTGTGAAAAGTCTAGAATATATATCTTTTAACAAGAGAGAGAGTACATTTTATCTACATTGAAAATGTAAAACATAGATCTTTCCGAAATAGAGGAAATATTCATTTAAAAAAAAATTATCAATAGATCCTAGTCTTATGTATATATTACATCTTCTGCCCCATACTCGGCACGTGACCATATTTTAAATTTATGTATTAAATCCTAATCTTATGTATATATTACATTTTGTGCCCCATACTAATTTAATTACTTTTAGATCCTCCACCACCGGTCGTCACCGCCGCTAAATCCGATCCACCGCTTCCTGATGAAGACGAGGAGATAGTGAAATCCGTCCTCAACGGCGTGATCCCTTCTTACTCCCTCGAATCTCGTCTCGGAGACTGCAAGAGAGCGGCGGCGATACGACGCGAGGCGTTGGAGAGGTTAACCGGGAGATCGGTGGAAGGGTTACCGTTGGATGGGTTTGATTACGAGTCGATATTGGGGCAATGCTGCGAGATGCCTGTTGGGTACGTGCAGATACCTGTGGGAATCGCTGGGCCTTTGTTGCTTGATGGGCTTGAGTACTCTGTTCCGATGGCTACTACGGAAGGGTGTTTGGTCGCGAGTACTAATAGAGGGTGTAAGGCTATGTATGTGTCTGGTGGCGCCACGTGTACGGTGGTTAAAGATGGGATGACGAGAGCGCCTGTGGTTAGGTTTGGGTCTGCGAGGAGAGCGGCGGAGCTTAAGTTTTTCTTGGAGGATCCTGAGAATTTTGACACGTTGGCTGTTGTGTTTAACAGGTAGTTTTGAGTTAAAAAGATTGAAGCTTTTTTTTTTACATTAAATGTGTGATTTTGATTTTAAAGTTTGAAACTTTTTTTTTGGTCACAAAAAGTTTGAAACTTTTTTAAAAGGTTTTTTTTTTTTTAGATATAATAGCATTGCATGGAGTTCTTTTTATTTAAAGATTGAAACTTTTTGTGAAGGGTATTTATTGATGAAGTGATTTTTTTTTGTGGAGTGATGAGTCAAAGATTTGAAGCTTTTTAGATACAATTTGCATTGCATGGAGTTGTTTTTATTTAAAGATTGAAACTTTTTGTCAAGGGTATTCATTGGTGAAGTGGTTTTTTTGTGGAGTGATGAGTCAAAGATTGAAGCTTTAAGTTGTTTGGACACTGTTTATTAAGTGATTTATTGAAAGTTTGGAATTTTTCAAAAGGGTTATCCACTGATGAAGTGATTTTTTTAGAGTGATGAGTCAAAGATTGAACCTTTTACATCAAACTTGTTACTTGTACACTGTTTATTAAGTGATTTTGATTGAAACTTTGGAACTTTTCAGAAGGGTATCCACTGATGAAGTGGTTTTTGTAGAGTGATGAGTCAAAGATTGAAAGCTTTTCACATAAAACTTGTGTGTTATAGAATTGCATGGAGTGGTTTTATCTAAAGATTGAAACTTTTCCAAAGGGTATTCATTGATGAAGTGATGGGTCAAAGATTGAAGCATTTTAGATAGAATTGCATGGAGTGATTTTTTTTAAAGATTGAAACTTTTGTAAAGGGTATTATTCATTGATGAAGTGGTTTTTTTTGTGGTTTGGCAGGTCGAGTAGATTCGCGAGGCTGCAGAGTGTGAAGTGTACACTTGCGGGGAAGAATGCTTACGTGAGGTTTAGTTGTAGCACTGGTGATGCTATGGGGATGAATATGGTATCCAAAGGTGTTCAAAATGTTCTTGAGTTTCTCACTGATGATTTTCCTGACATGGATGTGATTGGAATCTCTGGTTAGTTCCTTTTTTTAGCTTTAGTGTTGCTTGGAAGACTCTAGATTTAATGGTCTTTTTTAATTGTGTCAGGTAATTTTTGTTCGGATAAGAAACCAGCTGCTGTGAACTGGATAGAGGGACGTGGCAAATCAGTGGTTTGTGAGGCGGTGATAAGAGGAGAGATTGTTAACAAGGTGTTGAAAACGAGCGTGGCTGCTCTGGTGGAGCTTAACATGCTCAAGAACTTGACTGGCTCTGCTGTTGCAGGGTCTCTAGGTGGATTCAACGCTCACGCTAGCAACATAGTCTCTGCTGTATTCATAGCTACTGGTCAAGATCCAGCTCAAAACGTGGAGAGCTCTCAATGCATCACAATGATGGAAGCCATTAATGATGGGGAAGACATCCATGTCTCTGTCACTATGCCATCTATTGAGGTAAATTAATCAAAATATATATAGAGTTTTGTGAATTTGTGAGATTTGACTTTTGGTATTGGAATCTTTTAGGTGGGGACAGTGGGAGGAGGAACACAGCTTGCGTCTCAATCAGCGTGTTTAAATCTTCTAGGAGTTAAAGGAGCGAACATGGAGTCACCAGGGATGAACTCAAGGAGGTTAGCGACTATAGTGGCGGGAGCAGTTTTGGCAGGAGAGTTGTCTTTAATGTCAGCAATAGCAGCTGGACAACTTGTGAAGAGTCACATGAAGTATAATAGATCCAGCAGAGACATATCTGGAGCAACGACAACAACATGATCTGAGTCATCATTATCACCATTTGTGTGTGTGGCCAAAACTTGAAGAAAGGACAAAAAATCTAAAGAAGGGCAGCTTTTACAACTCATTCACTCATAACTCCCTGGTGGACATGTGGGTTGTGCATTGCCTTCTTTTGTTTAATAAAAGCTTAATTGTTTTATTTTGTTTTGACTTGAAACTTCTTTTTGGGGATTAAGGGTGTGAGAGAGAGAACATCTTTTCTTCTTTTGTCTCTCACTCATGGATAATTCATGTTCTTCTTTGATATATGTCTAATCTTTGTCTTGTGTTTGTTAGGAAATGGTGTTTATATGATAATGTATGGAGTTCCGTTTTGGGGACATGAACACTCAGATTTTTCTCAGTTTGTTTCATTTTCATTTATATGAACTGCATGTGTGTTGGGACATCTCTCTTTTAGTAGTTGTTGGTAAGTGGTAATTAGATACGGATCTTCTTTGCCTTCAGAAGACTCCACCACCTAAGTATTCACATGTTTAGTTTTGTTTGTTTTGAAAATGAGGCTGAGGGACTAATGTTATTGGGCCACTCTTACACTATTTCATAGATTTCAAGTTGACATGTGGGCCTTTTTCTCGAGCCACCTTCGCTGTCTTGTGTATGAGTTTTGTGAATTCATCTTCATCTTTTCTTGATGGGGGATTCTATAGACTTTAACGCATGCGTAGTCGCAAACCTTAATAAAAGTCTAGAGTCAAGAGTATTTTTGATATTTTAAGATATGTACAATTACCAATAGAATCATAGTTGTAAAATTGTGTTCTTTCAACCTACATAATCAATTTCCTCAAATTAATGTTGAGAAATACATGATAATTGGTGGATGGGGTTAATGGGTTAGTGGCAGATCACACAAGTCGTCGAAGTTTATATATATTGTCAAAAGTATTGTCCCGTGATCTTCTTGTTTCACTATCTGCTTTTTTAAAAGCCATCAACAAATTCAGTGGATCATATATTTATACTACTCTGCTTTTGTCAAACTTCTTTTTAATACTTTCTCAAGAATGTAAAAGAACGTTTTACTAGCTTATTATTGTACTAATCGCTTCATTGGATTGTTGGAAAATAGTTATATTAGTTAACAATTCAGTGACTTAGCTATATATCTATGCATTTAATCTATCCTCAAATATTTACTATCCATGTTCCATGTTACATACACTTTGAAGCTAAAATAGACTCCAAGTTTTTATTCATCCCCTATTTGCCGATCTCCCTGGTTTTAAAAAAAAAAATATATACGTATTTATGCATGGGTCCAGAGATGAAATCAATCCAAAATCTAATCAATAGTGCGTGCCATGTGGAAAATGGTGATGGAAATGAATTCAGTTTTGTATGGGTACTAATTCATAGTACTTTATAATAACCACTAATAGATTCAATGCATTATGCAGTGTGAAGTCCAACGAAAGACTATAAGATTCGGTCCATTCGGAGGTCACATGCTAGGTTTCAGATATACAATTAAATACAGTATATCATCATGAACAGTTACAAAAAAAATATATACATCATCTTTAATGATTTTTTGTCAATAATGTTCTGGTTTGGTGATGTTATCTGTACTTGTTATGATAGTTTTTGGAGACGTTAATACATTTTTCTTTATCAACCATGGTTTTTAAGACTAACCATTTACATGTCTGAAATCTGTTTAATTAAAAATAATAATTTGTTCTAAAAATAGATTTTTGGCAACCTCTAAAATTAATTTGAATCCGAGGGATAAAGAAACAAAATTCGTTACACTATTGTTAAGCTACTAACATCATGCACTAGAAAAAAAAAACATCATGCACTAAGTAATCTTTCATGTCACTAATTTAAGTGAGATTATTTTAAATTGCAAAGTAGGAAATTCGACCAATATAGTCGATTCAAACTCCTCGAGTCTGTATAATTTCCTATAATTAAACTTGCATAAGGTGTCGTCGTTACATGTTTGGCGTAAAATCATCATCGTGTAAACATGCAAACAGTAATTTTGAAGTGCCTTCTTTACGTATATTACGCCAAAAACAACAGTTCTATTCTGATTCTGAACAAAATTTAATAAGTAATTAAATGTTTCAAAGGCTGAAATTCAGAATTTTGGTGAAATGTTACAAGAAAATAATCCTGATATGAGAGTCGAGGTATTTAATAGCTATGCGTAGGAAGATAAATTGGGGGAAATCTCCACGTGGATCAAGTACCGATGCTTCCGACAGCCTCCACGTGATTAAACTCTCAGCTTCTGCTCTAACATTTTGACCGCACGTGACTTTGCTTACATACACGTGTGGATCAACCAGACTGTGCGATTGCATCGCCACGTCTTCACTCGTCCGATTGCACCGGTCAATAAATGGACGTCTCCGATCTCAGGTCTCACTTGCATCATGTGGGTGGGGGTCTTATTTATGTGCTAACATTGCTACTAATCATACATGTTCACATCTCTCTTAAGTCGATAGGAGTAAGTAGATAATGAATACTATTTTTCTTTTTAATAAATATTGAGCTAGCTGTAGTGTTGTACATTGTAAAATTATATATTTGCACTTGACTACGGTTTCTACTCCCCTCAAAGGTACCTAACTTTCCATATCAGACTTTCTATTAGGCCATGCGGTTTCAGTTAATTCGCATTATCTATTTACAATTATTAATTTTGAAATATTGATATTTGCATTATCTATTTAGAATTATTGAATTTTGATTTTAATAAAATGGTTGAAACATTAATGAAATATGGAGTGGTTTGAATCGGAGACTTCTTTAAAACAAAATATTTTAATTGGTTTTAGACACGACTTATGAGGAGTAGGGTAAGAATTTCAATTTCAAAAATATATAGCTTCGCACCACCACGAGTATGTCGTAGAGGAGAGAATATGCGTGCAAGTTATATACTATAAGATGTTCTTTAATTAACAAAGTACGGTCGTATTAAACAATTATAAGTATTCTAAGTCGTTCAAAAGCAATAATGCGATGTCCCAAAAATGAGCAATTAGCCTATACTACAGTAACACAAAATGGAAGTAAATTTGATCCGTTTGTCTTGAAAAACATCTTTATTGATTGATAATTATAATATATTGGAACGAGAACTTGTAGTACGTACTAATATTTGCATAGTAATACATATCTCCCTAAAGTCTACCAAACAAAAGTTATATTAATTTAGGAAAAAAAAAGAGAAGAAGTTATATTCTTATAGATGTAATTTAAGCTTTGATGATGAATTGAAGTTAAACATAAAAGGGGTTACATGCATGATGCATTGAGGTTTCATAGTTTTTTTTTAAGAAGTTTTAAATTTTCGCCATTCCTTAATATTTTGGATATTTGGATCAGTAATACCATAATATAAATCGTTTATTCTCAAGTAGATTTAACTAGCAATAATAGATACTTTACTTTTTAACTTGAATACTAGATCACCAACCTTTTTAAAAAAAAAAAAAAAATTGATGGCCAAGTAGTCCAACTTGTTTTGTTAGTATTACAAAATCCAGAATCAGAGTCCATCACTAATTATGGACCGAAATTGAATTTTTTATTTACCAAGATATGACATTAATCCTTTCTAAAAATGTTAATGAATTATATTCGATATCTATATAATATGTTCCAACAATAATATAGTATAAGTCTCTTTTTAAAAACAAAATACTTTGGCCTTATACATGTTATTTTCAAGCTTGAAGTCTAAAAATAAGTTATTTATTTTCCCTGCTATATATAAGCCAAAAAATAAAACGAATATATCCATAGAAGAAAACTTGAAACCCTGTCTTATCTTGTATTTCATGTATACGATACAATAGTTTTATATGCCCCAAACCATGAGTACTAATTAGATTAAGATTATAAAAAAATATAAAAGCAATGATTTTCAACTACATTCTCGTTGTGTCGATATATATTTTTATAGCTTCCATTCTTCAACAAAAGTACTGCAGAGACACTCACTTTCAGGACATGAAATAAATTGAAGCTTCTCAATTCTTTTCACATAGCTTAATACGACACCGTCTCTAGTGAAGAATCTGCTCATGTCTTGTCCTAAAGCGAGTTAGGGTTTAACACACAAGTAGCACCCGTTTGAGTTGTGTCTCTTTGCTCTTTTTCGTCTGTTTGTGTAACCGATCAACTCAAGCTATTGGTTCCTCACTCCCTGACATTTGACTTCTCCTCTGACTCTCACCAAAGTTTCTCTATATGAAGAAATCTTCACCCTCACAATATCATTATAACCACAAGAACAAGAACCAGTAGATGCGGCGGTGATGGACGGTGGTTACGATCAATCCGAAGGAGCTTCAAGATACTTCCATAACCTCTTTAGGTCTGAGCTTCACAACCAACTTCAACAACAGCCTCAACCTCAACCTCAACCTCATCCTCATCCTCAGCTTCAACAAGAAGATGAATCTGACTCCAACAAGGACTCGGGTCGGCTTGATTCCGACCCGGCTACCTCGGGATCAACTCCCGGGAAGCGTCCACGTGGACGTCCCCCGGGATCCAAGAACAAGCCGAAGCCACCGGTGATTGTGACAAGAGACAGCCCTAACGTCCTTAGATCTCATGTTCTTGAAGTCTCATCTGGAGCCGACATAGTTGAGAGCGTCAACACTTACGCTCGCCGGAGAGGGAGAGGTGTCTCCATTCTCAATGGTAACGGCACGGTGGCTAACGTCGTTCTCCGCCAGCCGGTGACGATTCATGGGAATAATGGTGGAACTGGAGGAGGAGTTGGAGGGGTTGTGACTTTACATGGAAAGTTTGACATTCTTTCCATCACTGGGACGGTGCTTCCGCCGCCAGCGCCGCCGGGAACCGGTGGTTTGTCAATCTTTCTTGCTGGTGGACAAGGTCAGGTCATCGGAGGAAGCGTGGTGGCTCCTCTTGTGGCTTCGGGTTTAGTAATACTGATGGCTGCTTCCTTCTCTAATGCAACTTTTGAAAAGCTTCCGCTTAAAGATGAAGAAGAAGAAAGCGGAGGAGGTCCACTGCCAGCCACGACAGCAACACCGCCGTCTGGACCGGGACAGGGAGAGCTGAGAGGTAATACGAGTGGTTATGATCAGTTTTCGGGTGATCCTCATTCGCTTGGTTGGGTAGCCGGAGCAGCTTCAAGACCATCTTTTTAGATTTGAATATTATGTCCGTAAAATAGCTATTAAGAAAAATTTAAAAACCATTTCATAATAATATAACAATGACATTTCTCAATCATATTTTTAAGTTCTTTTGGTTTTGAATTAAGTTTATCGACATTTGGATTCGTATATTTATTAGTTATACTTCTCCATCCACGTCTTTATTCTTCTCACTCTCTTTTAGTCACTAGGGTTTTGTGCGGAACTTCACAAAAAGTTGGTATTAGTAGCCAATTTTGTTATACCACATAGTATTGAGTTCACTCACGCAAATATATATGGCTCATATTAGTATGCGCACACCCCACCCCCCGGGATAGATATGAAATGTAATCATTCAATCTATGTAAGTATATCAACTAACAAACATCTTGTTCTTTCATTCATTTAGTTACCACATATATGAAATCCTAGAAGTTGTATATTAATTCAATTTGGCAATCTTATGAATAACTTCTTGTGTCTAAAATTCCAAGTAACTGAAGAGATAGCCTTCCACAGCCTTGATCATACTGGAGGACTTCAAATCAACTTTATGCTAAGAAACCTGATTCAATCATATATAACAAACTGAATTCTACTTTGTCATCGATGAAACCGATATGAATCTTTCTTCGATCTTATCGATCAATCATGAAAATAACGCTATTAAGTCGAATAAAACCAAAATAACGCTTCAATTTACGAAGAATTTTTAAGATCGGTTACAGTAGTAACATATCTGTGAAGTAAATATATTTTTCCGTTACAGCGAAACAAATATAGAAGTGATTGTTGACAGTTTCACATAGATTAATGGCAGAAACACGAGAACATTACATGACTTGTCAGAATCAAGACATGAAAAAGTTTCCCTTTAGAAGATCAGAAAATTCTACTACATACCAAATGGGGTTTTCAGGATGTGTGAAAATGAGGAGTGCATCAAGTCCCTAGGGAAATATGGGTGACAATATATAAAAATACAAAATTTGAAGTTTCTGATATATATGTTATACATAATCTATATGAGAGGATGCATGACCAAGAGAGGTTTGTGGTGAAGTATCTCCATTGAGCTCGGGATGATTTTTATTTATGCGGTAAGAAATTGACTAATTTCAGGTTCTTTTTGTTAACAACATACATTATATCAAACAGACTTAAAAGATTGATAAGTCATCTACTGACAATATTAACACAAACTAGCTACCATGCTGTATATCTTCGTCATTTTGAATTTTTCTTGTTATATAAGATGAGAATTTAATATACAACCTTTTTTATAATGATAGTTTCTTAATTTGTATATCTTTGGCTTTTTCGGGCTTGAAGAATGTGAAGAGAATTATAAGTGTATTGTACTTGGAAGGACTAACAAGTACACACTCCTATGACATTTTTTTTAACACCACGTACTCCTGTAAGGCTGTAGCTATTAAAACATTGGTAAGTATAATTTCCGGAAATGAGATATTAGGAAATGATATAATTTACGGCCCACATAAATAACAAAGCCCGATACTTGAAAGTATGGGCTATCGATACTTGAAAGCATTTGAAGAGTAGTAAGAAAAAAAAAAGTCTTTCTGTCCGAAATTTATCGACTTTGGGACCACTTTTAATCGCCTTTGATTCCCAAATCTCCAATAGGTCAAATCAAGATTTCCAAATATGTCACGTGTTGGTTGTTTTCATCGACGAACATTAAATGAGTGGCCCATTTATATCTTTGATTCACGTCCATCACGTACACTTTTGCATCGTAGCTAAGCAATAAGCCAATTAACATAGTACCACATGTTACTTAAGCTCTTTGAACAAAGAAAAAAAAATCTCTATGCATAAGTATTGCCGTTAAGAGAGTAGTGCCTCTCCTAAGAAGAGTTTTTGTAGGATTCCAAGAGCTTTATTATAATAGTGTATCCCACTTTCACGACAGGTTCATGGCTTGATATTAAGATCGGTATAGTCTACAGCAAATGTTTGTTTTCTTGCAATTATTGACGAACCAAGAAGAAAAAGACAGACCAGTCCTTATTGTTGTGGATGCTTTTGGCATGGTCTTGGTTTTCGTATCTCTGTCTGTCTCCTATCAGTACCATGCATTGGCATGGTCTTGGGTTTTTAGTATCTCCATCTCTATACTTCTACCACACAATTACTAAGTTCTTGCTTTATTCGCATAATTAATTTCAATTTTTGGTTTTAAAGGCCACTGCACCACTATTTGTTCGCATAATTACTTTCAATTTTTGGTTTTAAAGGCCACTGCACCACTATTTATTCGCATAATTAATTTTTTTTTTTTTTAAGTTCTTGCTTTTGTATGAAATGTTCACTATCAAGCAAGCTATTTGCTTTAATGTACTTGTTCCAATTCACATTTTATAGTTACTTGGGTAATGATTAATTCACTTATATGAATGAGCAATGAGCATGCTCCTTTGTCCCCCCCCCCCTCTACCCACTTTCTATGAAAATTTGCTTTACTTTAAGCTAATCATTTTGTTTATTTGCAGTATACGGTAACGTAAGTCGTCACTGATCATCGTTTTACTCTGATTATATATATTACTGAATATAGTAATCATTTGCTGGCATTGCTTACGGGTTGATGCTATGTTTAATATATTATGTAAATAATAATTTATTATGATAACCGCATCCATAAAACACGTTTATGACTTTCAACCCCAGGGGAGAAATAAATGCTGATTGTTTATACTATTCTTCGTCAATAATAAAATAAAAATAAATGTACAGTATTCGCTGATCAACATAACTGATTTAAAGTAATTGATTTAAAATTGGAATATTTATCATAGTGTTATAAGTTAGTAGTATAACCGAAACATTTTAATTTTGAAAACAATTCGCGATAGATAGCAACAAAGAAACATTTGTTTCTACAGAAACAAAGAAACATTTGTTTCTACAGAAACAAAGAAAACAACTAAGTATTGTTTTTTCACCGTCCGATAAGGAGTATGCGATAACTCTACTTCCCATAAGAACCACGAATCAATCATAGAGACACTTCGCGCTGCGACGAAAGGCATGTCGACAGTCCGATAATAGCTGTTCACAGACAAAGCCAGTACTTTGTTTTCATGCATATACATACGACAATCTAGGAAACAAAACAAAGAATTACATATTTTCTTCCAAAACTGATGGAAACTATTACTAATATTTTTATAAATGTCCTAATGATTTGAAACTATTAATTTGGTTGGTTCTAGTGCAAGTGAAATTTCGAAGAGACTTAACTTGTCATACTTTGTAACTTAAACAAAGCTACAGCTTTCAGAGCGACGTATTTATTAAAAATATACAGCTTAAATTCTTTCATACGGAACAAAACAATTAAAAAAATGATTGACAAGTCTGACACGACACATGCTAATACGAAGCTGTACACTATTTTATAATATTCAAGAAGAAAAAAAACGAAATTCTCATCTACTTTTAATTATAAAACAACATTTTATGCATGTGATAAATTTTATTCTACGAAATTATCATCCCGCTTAGACTCAATTAATATTTTAAAATTAATCTACAAGTAAATTTTAAATTAAAATTAATTAATATTCTGAAGAATTAAAAAATGGAATTCTCATCCTTAAGGCATAGAATAATGATTTTCGATTCTTTACGAAAAAGGAGGATACTATACTATCTTTGTCATAATTTAAAAAAACATTTGTTTACTTTTTTATAAACAAAGAATATAAATAGCGTACAGAGGCGGCCATGCATGTGTAACGCCAGGTTCCGCAAGCATTTTCTCTTTCACATAGAGAGAAAATAGCATAATTAAAATTCTCATTTTTCTGGATTCTCCGGCGGAATATTACAAAAAGGTTATTCATTTGTCACCGGAGATATATATTCAGGTTTACTAGAGAGTACTTACGAGCTCTGTTTTGGTCCTAGCTCAATTTATTCAGATTTTTTTTTTTCATGTTTGCAGATATTAGCTTTGGAGAAAGAAGAGATGATGAAGCTTTTACATCTGTTCATAACTTCATCAAAACCAGTTGTGGAGATTCTTCTAATAACGACAGTTGGATTCTATATGGCTCTTGACGGAGTCAATCTTCTTGGTCAAGATGCTCGCAAATTTTTGAACAACGTCAGTTTATTACACAATCCTCTTCTTTCACGTCTCTAAACACTTCGGTGACTTTAAACTTCGGTTTGTTTTTTTTTTTGCATAGATTGTCTTCTATGTGTTTAGTCCTTCACTTATTGGAAGCCGTTTAGCTGATAGTGTTACATATGAAAGCTTGATGCAAATGTAAGTTTTGGAGTTATAGATCTTTTGTAATCTCTGGTTTATATAATGAGAAACTTGATTTATTTTTGTGGTCTTAGGTGGTTCATGCCGGTTAATGTTCTGCTTACGTTCATCATTGGCTCGTTCTTAGGCTGGATTGTTATTGTCATTACTAAACCTCCTTCGCATCTTCGTGGTCTTATTGTTGGTTGCTGTGCTGCTGGTAACAAAACCTTAACATGATGTCTCCTAATATTTTCAGATTTTGTATTTTTGTAATTTCTTAATGATGAAATTAAAACAGGGAATCTTGGAAACATGCCATTAATCATTGTTCCAGCTGTTTGTAAAGAACAAGGAGGTCCCTTTGGTGATCCTGAGAATTGTCAGAAGTATGGTGTGGGTTATGTTGCACTCTCCATGGCTGTAAGTTCTATTCTTCTTCTACTACTTCTTCAAGGGTTTATGAGTGTATATTATATATCATCATGTTAAATATATATTTGTAATGTTATCAGATGGGATCAATTTATATATGGACTTATGTATACAATCTTATGCGGGTGCTATCAAACTCTCCGATTGAAACACAACCTTCTATTGAATCCAGCTACAAAGTCCCATTGATTTCTTCTAAAGAAGAAGAAGATAATAACCAAAAGGTCTCATCACTTAATCAATGACTATTCATTCATCAGAGTTGGTCCGTTTGGTAATGACTAGATGTGTGAGTG